GGGTGAAGACGTGGGCGGGACCTGGGGCTCCTGGTTCAGTGTCGTTTTCCTTGTGAGCTTTGTCTTCGAGCACCCAGTGTCGCCGACCCACGCCAGCTGCCACTCACCCTGAGTCCTTCGGGGACTCCGTTCCCCTCCGCAAGCACCGGTGCCTTTTCTCCTTATCTCTACGCTCCGAAATGTCACCGATCGCCTCAGTCCCGCCAGGCACACAGTGGTCCTGCCTGACGTTTCTTCGTCCCCTGTCCGCTTTGCTCATAGCATCCTCCCTCCTCGCCTCGGGCAGAAAACACATCGGAGCCACGTCCTGCGGGGCCGGCTCGGGGCGAGTGCCGGGGCAGAGGGACCTTATTTTAGAAAGACCTTTCCCGACTATAAACAGACTCAGTCCCTTTTACAAAGAGAACAGTAGCCGATCTCCACGCTGACCCAAGGAACAATCTCCTCGGTTGCAGTGCACGAGGAAGCAGCGCCGGCCCACGGGGAGCATCTCCATCCTTTCCAAACAAGCTCGGCCCTCACGCATCTGCCTGAGACTGACTTGCGAGCTGACACCATTAGCAGCCCAGGCTCAGCCCCTGTGGCATTTACAACTGTCACGTTTCCATCCTGTGGCATTTTTAGAGTCATAATTGTCCCAGGGTTCTCAGAGACCCAAGGGGAGGAGAATATCAGTGTAAAATGGTGCATGACGTCGGCATGGGACGGCCATGTGAAGCCCCCTTCTGAAGAGACACAAGGCGCGGCTGGAGTCGGCGCTGAGTCAGCCTGGGGGGAGGAATCTTCAAAACCTCTTGGGATCCAGGGCAGGAGGAGCCGAGAGCCTGTCCAGGCGTGGTCACACCCCAGCTGCTCTCCCATCCTCCGGGGCAGGGGCCCCCCAGGGCCGCTCCCCTACCTGGACCTGGACCCTGGACCCCGGACCCTGCTCTACTCGCCCTCAGCAGTGATTCCTGCAAACCTCCCAGGGTGTGGGAAGGGCGGGAAGAGGGGCAGGCAGGAAGGAGGGCCACTCTCAGGTCCCCTGCACTCAGGGAAGGCCAGAGAGGGCAGGGGCTGGCTCTGGGGTCGTGCAGCGGACAAGGAGCTTGTCTCCCCGCCTGCCTCGCAAACCAGCTACCAGCATCCCCCGTGGGCAGCGGGACGAAACTGGCTCTGCTGCGAGGGTCTCCGAGAGGAATGACGAGTTAGTGTTCGTGGAGAGCTGATACGGCCACTGGCACGGTGACCAGAGACACTTCCCATTTCCCCACGGCTTGGCCGTGCTGTCTGGTCTCTGCTGAGCGGTCAGGACGTGGGTGGGGCCCCTTGGCTCTCGAAGTCGCCATTTGTCAGCTGCACAAAAGTCTTTCCAGGAGGTCCTGGTGCTTGATGACAGTGACAGTGGCTGAGGACTGTCACAGCCCATGACAGGTGGTAAACGTGAGGCTCATGTTTCCCGCAAGATCGGAAAATCCAAAGACAATAAAAGGCAGCTCAGCCTGTCGCCCAGCCCCAATGTGAGGCAGCCTGAGCATTTGCGGCCACTTCTCCCGCCGTGGCCCTCAGCCCGCCCTAGACCGTCTGACTCCAGCAGAGTGTCGTGGAGCCTCCCATGTGCACATATACATGTGTCGTGCACATGCGTGTGATATGCATGTGTTGTACACGTGCGTGTGTATTTTGACAAGCTCCTGGGTGATGCTGAAGTTGCTGGTGCAGGGGCTGCGCCCTGAGGACCGTGTCAACCAGACCTTAAACCCTCCTCCTCTTCTGGGCCCGTCCCACAGGCCTGAGGACACGAGCTGCGCCTGTGGACAAAGGTTCCAGGACAGCAGGCTTCTCGCGGTAACACACGCAAGGATTTCACAGGGTGGCGAAATAGATTCCTGTGCACCCCACAGAGGCAGCGCCTGGACAGCCAGGGCCCGGGGTCCCCCGGGCCGTCACAGCCTGAGTCACTCCCTCCCTCCACAAACCCTAACGGGCACCCAGGGGACAGGGCCGCCCTGTCCCTCACTCACACGGCTCACGCTCGGGCAGATGTGACGCTGTGGACCTGGACAGGCCCTTGTTTCAAGTCAAAGAAGCTGCTGCCCAGGAGGAAATCCAGGCAAAAGGATCACCGGGTAAAATACGGGTGCCCGGTTCAATTGGAATTTGAGATCACGATAAATAATGTGTAGTATGTGAAATTCAAATTGAACCGGGCACCCTGTAGTTTTATATGTTAAATCTGACAGCCCCTAAAAGGGGCCAAAACCTCCACGGCCAGTTACAAGTGACCAGCAGCTGGTCCAGCTTTCTGCATCCTCCCACCTTCTCTGGCCAGTGACCCAGGCCTGTGATGACGGGGTGAGGACAGGAACAGCAGTACTAGGGCAACAGAGCCGATCCCAAGCCATGTCCTGCCTGCCCTTCACTAGTCACAAGGAGTCTTTACACACCTCCCCGCCCCACCCCCCGAAACTGGATTTTCTTTTCAAAATGCCAAGGACGGTGCCCTGGGATGCACCAGGCTCCCAGGAGGGAACCTCCTTCACTTGCTTCCTGCTGGCAGGTTTCAGGATCAGGGACCTTGGTTTGGGCCCAAACAGTGGATGGGAGGCGCCCCCTGCCGCTGAACGTGCCTCCGGCAAGCCTGCACCGCGCCCAGAACCCTCCTCACCTGGGGGCCTCTGGTCAGTGGGTCCCCTCGAAGCCCAACTTATAATTCTCTCCAACCACAGGCTTCTTTGTGAGAGGGAAGTAATTAGACCGGAACCTTGATCACATTAAGTTTCCCCAACAGGAAGAGGGGGGTGGGGATAATTAGGCACATTCATTAGGCACCGGCTGCATTTGAAAAGCCCCTCTGTGGGCCGGGATGGTAAGAAAGACAGAGAAGGTTTCCTTTTGCCAAATCGTCCAAGCCGTCTGACTACCAGGCACGCGTTCCAGAATGCATCTGTGAAGTCAGGAGCCAGGTGTCTGTGCATCGCAGCGCTGGGCAGCAGGGTTCGGGTGCAGCGGCCATGTGGCAGACACAAGCAGCAGGGACAGGACCAGCCCACACTCCGGGGACCTCACAGCAGTGGGGAGAGCGAGCAGAGGCACGGGGCCCCCAGCCAGGGCAGAGGATGCCAAGCGCCAGAGAGAGGCGCAGAGAAGGCAAGGAGGCTCTCCGGATTGAAGAAGAGTTTCACCTGGCGGGAATGGGGTGGGGGACCCCAAGGTGTCCAGGGAACATTGAGGAGATGAGTGATGGTGAGGGCCACCATCTAGAGCACTTACTGTGGAACCGACCCCATGCTAAGTGCTCGTGGGCCTGCATGATCATGCCCTTGAGCCACTGGCTGAGGCAGGTGCCACCTGTGGGTCAGGCAGAGGAGGGGAGCACAGGCCTGGCTGGGTCCAGTGTCCAGCCACATGGTGGCTCTACGGACAGCTGGTGGCCCTGGGCCCCCTGCGAAGCCCCCTGGGCAGCCTCCTGGGCCAGATCTCCACCATGGCATTGTGGGGACCTCCTGGCCAGCAGCCCCCTTTCCCAGGTGGGGAAGCCAAGGCCCAGGCCCAAACCGCCAGGCCAGCTCAGTCCACGTGCTGTCCCCGTGGCGAGGCTGACCAGGACAGCACCGGGAGGGGCAGCGGCACCAGCGTCAGCTCTGGCCGGCTACTGGGATGCCCAGGCCCCCACGGCGCAGCACAGCCACCCGCAGCGAGACCCCAGGGGAATGGCTGTTGTCGCCCCTGCGCGGAGGGCACGGAATCCTAAGGCTGAGCCTCGCCCAGGCCACATAGCTGCGACAGCCCGGTAGGGAACCCAGGAGCCCGACCACGGCCCGGGTCTACACCCGCCAAGGCGAAGAAGGGCCTTGCCACAGGTCCCAGCTGGAGGCCTGCGATGGGCGTGGCCGAGGAAAGGGGCGGGGAGAGTCGCGGAGGCGGGGCGGAGCCGGCGGCTTTGATTGGACCCCGTCTTGACTCGTCTTGGGACTGCTTTCTGGCCCCGCCCAGACCCCCCTCCCAGGCCCCGCCCAGACCCCGCCCAGGGCTCCCCACCCGCCTTGGTGACCACGAGGCCGGCGGGCGGGAGACGCGCGGTCGAGGCCGCCGGGGCAAGCGGGTTAGAGCCCCGCGCCCGCGGGAGCTGTCGGTTCCCGGTCTTGTTTGTTTTTCCTTCACGTCGCTACCGCGATGTCACTCGCAGTCTGCGCCACCGCCGCGCTGCGACCCCACAGCGTTTCCGTCCCCTCGGGAGACCTGCGCCGGTCCGCGTCCCCGCGCGGATCCGCCGCCGCCCCTTCGCCCGTCCGTGCGGCTCCGCGGCGTGTCCGCGACCTCCGGCCGGCGCGTCCCCAAGGCCGGGCGTCCGCCCGCCGTCAGGTGTCGTGACGGTCGCGCTGCGCACAGCGGGCGTCCCCTCGGCAGGTGCCGCGTCCCGGGAGACTCCGCCCCATCGCTCACGGACCGCCGCTGTCGGAGCAGGCGCCGTCTACACCCGACACGCTAGTTGGAGCAGGCGCCGTCTACACCCCCGTCCGACCCCGGTGCGGGTCGCGGCTGTGCCCGGCCCCCGGACGGCTGGGCGTGAGCGCGTCCCCAGTCTTCGTGGCACCGCAGCCCCGAGGGTCGCATGTCCAACCCCATCCCGTGACCGGACCGTTTGCGTTTTTACTCCCGGACAGCGAGGTGCCCGGGCGGCTTCTGGTGTCCCCCGTTCTGGACGTCCGTCACTTTCTGACGGCGTAGAACGTTTTCTTTTAAATGGAGCTCTCTTTCCCGCGAGCTCTGCAAACCGGGTGAGCGCCTCGGCGCGCTCCCGCGAGGGCGGGGTGGGGGTCGGCGGCGCGCTCCCGCGAGGGCGGGGTGGGAGGGGAGTCGGCGGCGCCGGAGGCCGGACTGCGCTGCACGGCGGGACTCGGCCGCCAGGGGGCGCCGCGGGCTCGCGCCGGAGCCCGCACCCTCAACTGCGCCTGCGCCGACGCCGGCGCCTGAGCCCGAGCGCGAGCGCGGCCGAGCGCGCGCCCGCCCCCGACTGCGCCTGCGCGGAGCCCGTGGCCGCGCCTGCTCCCGCCGGGGGCTCGTCGCTCGCCGGGCCGCGGCCATGGGGGAAGCCGAGGTGGGCGGCGGGGGCGCTGCCGGCGACAAGGGCCCCGGGGAGGCGGCCACCAGCCCGGCGGAGGAGACGGTGGTGTGGAGCCCCGAGGTGGAGGTGTGCCTCTTCCACGCCATGCTCGGCCACAAGCCCGTCGGTGAGCGCCAGGCCGCGGACGCGCGTGGGGGCGGGGCGGGCCGGGCCGCGGGTAACCGTCGGCGGGAGGGGCGGGGCCTGCGCCGGAACGCCCCGCCCCCTGGGACCCCCGCCCCCTCCCGCACCCGGGCAGACCCTGCACCCTCTGTGACACCCAACTGCACACTGAGGCAGACCCCGCAACACCCCAGGTGTGTCCAGTCCCATACCCAGGCTGACCCCCGCCTGTCCTGCATGCTAGGGTTGACCCCACCCCTCACAACACCCTGATACCTACTCCCACGTGGACCCCCTTCCCCATGATACCCCCATGACACCCCCATGACACCCTCGCCCCTTCCTATAACACCCCACACCTCCAGCCCGGTCCCCTCCAACTGCTCGTTGTACACCTCTACCCTGGCAGATCCCCCTCCGCCTACCCCTGCCTGCTCATTCCCCAGTGCAGACCGCTGGCCGTTCCTGCCCCCCTTACCGCTGTGCTGCGCCTCCTCCCACAGGTGTGAACCGACACTTCCACATGATTTGTATCCGGGACAAGTTCAGCCAGAACATTGGGCGGCAAGTCCCATCCAAGGTCATCTGGGACCATCTGAGCACTATGTATGATATGCAGGCACTGGTGAGCTGGACCCCTGCCCTCCCAGTGTTGGGGGCCAGTGGGGAGACAGTCCACACCCTGCTCTCTGAAGCTCAGCCCGAGCAGGTGGCAGAGTGCCCACCCATGCCTCCTGGGGGTCTGCTGGGCAGAGTGGCAGGTAGCACTGACAGATGAGACCCTTCCAGGGGAGTGTGACGTCCTGGGAGGACAAGTCACTTAACAAGAGGCTCCGAAGAGTGTTATGAAAATAGACCTAGTGCTGGGAGCTGGTTACCTTTCCAGGGAACCTACCTTGGAGCGGGTGGTCAGCAAAAGTCTCTGGAGAGAGACTGGGGAGTGGAGACCCTGGGAAGGTGCCCGCGCAACAGGTGGCGGGAGGGGAGAATGCAGAGGCCAGGCCCTTAGGCCAGTGTCCGTCTTCTGAGAGGCCTCAGAAGTGCTTTAGCAGAGGGTGACCTCATGTAAGTCACATTAAGGCAAATTTGGCGGCTTCTTGAGAACTAGGCAAGTAGAGTCCCATCCTTACGCAGCTCAGAGTGGGCAGTGTCTGATAGGTCAGCAGGTTAACTAGGTCAGCGGGGTGGCTGGAAGAGACAGGTGTCAGAGCCCTGTGGCAGCAGGAGGTGGTGGGTCCAGGAGCTCCAAGGTGAGGCACCTGGAAAGTGGGTGGGGTGGGGACCTGTGCTGGTGGAGGGGGAGAGTCTGTGCCTCCCTGTTGGTCTCAGGGCCACACCAGCCCTCCTGGCGAGACCTGGAGTGCGCCACCGAGGCAGAGAGCACTTGCGTTGACCTGGGCACATCCCAGGTGTCCGCTCTGCACAGCCATAGAAAGGGGTCAGAGAAGCCAGCTGTGCCCCAGGGCTGCTGCAGTCATGTGCCAGGGAGAGGGAGGCCTGCCCACACGCAGATGTGTCCTGGAAGTGAGCGGCTCTTGCTGCCCGCGTTGAGCACATTCTGAGCCCAGTGCAGAGTTTGCACCAGGTGGCCAGCCCTTGGTGACCCAGCTGTGCTGACTGCCAAACTTAGTAAGGTCCTCCCTGGAGCAGCCGCTCCTGCCTGTGTGGGGAGTGCATGGGTCAGGCCCTGCTCCCTGGCCACCTCCCTCCGAACTCCCTGGGGCCAGCATCATGTTGTGGGGCCCTGCGAGGGGAAGGGCCCTGGTCCCCAGACACTCCCCACTCTGGGACGCAGAGCGATCAGTGAGCACTGTGCCTGTCTTTGGAGAAGACAGATCACTCTGAGGCCTGAGACGTGCTTCTGGGACACGGGGCCTGGCTCAGAGGAGCCTGGTGACCTGTGTGACACTCAGGGAGCTGCAGGGGACCACTAAGGCTTTCCGCCCCAGAATAGCGGTTCCAGCTCTTTGTCCTCTCCTGACTCCTGCATCTGCTTCAACTGGTGGTGCCCTCTGCGGGTTTCCACCCGTGCTCAGCCCTGCCCACAGAAGGGACGGTCTCCACCCCATGCCCACGTGCACACGTGCCCCAGCCCCGAGTGCAGCTCTGGGCCCACGTCGGCTGCTCCTGAAAAGGCTCTTACACAGCTTCACTGACTTGCTGAAACCTCATTTTCTTCTTTGTTTCTTAAAAAAACAAAACACTCTACTCAACACCAGCATGAGTCCGAGATTCTCCCTTTCCCAAACCCAGAGAGGAACTTCGTCCTTCCAGAAGAGATCATCCAAGAGGTCCGAGAAGGTGAGGCCCAGGCCCTAGAAAGGTCAGGTTTGGGAATTAGAAAAGGCTGGACCTGGGCAAAGGGTGGGGAGGTCAGAGTGAAGGTCATGGCCTCCGGGAGGTGTGAGGGTCCAGCACAGACCCCACCTCCACCCATACGGTCTCGGGAGCCTCCGGGATTGGAAAGGACTTCGTTCAAGAGCAGCTGCTGGGCAGAAGGTGAGGCCTGCGTGGGCAGCCGGGCGTCCCCAGGTGTCGGCCACCACCGTGGGCTTTCAGTGAACGTCAGCTTCTCCACAGGAAAAGTGATTATTGAGGAAGAAATGAAAGAGGAGATGAAGGAAGACGTGGACCCCCACAGCGGGGCTGACGACGGTGAGTGTGGCACCCACCCTCCCTGGTAGCCTGCGGGGCATGGCGCCCACGGCCTCCCTTGCAGGGCTTGGTGGGGTGGACAGAAAGTCTGTGGCGCGGGGTCCAGTTGAGGTCAGACGTGGTGGAGGTCATCTCAGTGCAGGGTAAACGCTGACCGTGTTCCCGTCTAGCAGGAGCAAGTGGAGCTGAGGGACAGCTCGGTAGGGCAGGTCCCCCTGGCACCGGGGCCGAGCAAGCGCACCCTGGCACTCAAGGTCGGGGCACCCTCAGGAGCACAGGCCTCTCTCGAGGCCCCTGGGTGCAAGACTCCAGCTCACAGGATGCTTTTTGGATTCAGAGGGTTCCATGGGAATAGACAGATTTTTTTAAATGAACAGGAAGACAAAATTCAATTCTGGATATTCTGTTTCCAGCCGAATTATTTTGTTTCTCAGTTTTTTTATCTTCAGGGAGCTTGGGGAAAGCAGCAGAAAAATCTAGCAAAGACAAAGAGAAGAACTCCTCGGACTCGGGGTGCAAAGAAGGGGCGGACAAGCGGAAGCGCAGCCGGGTCACCGACAAAGTCCTGACTGCAAACAGCAACCCCTCCAGCCCCAGCGCTGCCAAGCGGCGCCGAACATAGACGCCTGCACAGCGGGTCTGGGGGCGCCTCCTCCCCCGCGCACAGCGACCTGTCCTGACGCTGCGCTCCGCGCCGCCGCCCAGCTTCCCTGGAGCGAGGCTGTCCGGCAGGGGCCCGCAGGCCAGGCTCCAGTCAGACCAGCTGTGGCCCTGGTGGACCCAGAAGACCAGGCTCGACCCAGGCCAGTGGTTGAGGGCTCTGAGTCTGCATCCGTCTCCTCCGGAGCACCTGGCTTCCTCGTGGCCTTGGATTAGCTCCGCGTGTGCGGCAGCATTCGGGCCCAGGCCGCGTGGAGCGTGGAGCGGGGTGGAGCCAGGAGAAGCCCCGGGATTAGCAAGCAATACAAACACTGACCTCACTCTGTCCTCAGAAGGAAACACTCGTCTTCCCTGCGTCACTCTGTCCTTTCCGTCTGTCTGTCCCTCTGTGAGCCTGTCTGCACTGACTGCAACATCAGGAGGATGTGGCCTTCCTGTCACCCGTGCACGCGCCACAGCCTCTCCCCCACCTGGGAAACTCAGAACCAGATACTTTGCCTCATTCACTTGTACTGTAAGGTTGTATATAATTTGGTTGGTATCTCACTATTTAATTTTTAAGAAGCCTATTTTACTAGTGTTTTATATGAAAATACTGGAGAAGTTAAACCTGTGTCGTATTTTCCTGAGATGTTTTGTTTTAAGGTAATGACTACTGAGATACTTTTTGCTCAGTTTTTATATGCCAGATACAGAGAATTTGTAGCGGTTATTTTTGTACTACCTAGTGACAGCAGACGGGCCAGATGCGTGGGTGGAGGGGAAGGTGCCGCCGCTGGGCTGGCAAGAAGGCGCCCCAGTGCCGATGGAGATACGCTTTCATTTGCAGAACATTAAAGCACAAAAAATCAACCTGGAGTTGTGTGATTTTGATACCAAAATAAGTTTTCCTCCAATAGGAAGTTTTATTTTCCCAAGATTTATGACTAAAGCATAGTGTACACTTAGATTTATTAACACTCCCTGAAATGATGTGTAAACAAAATAGTGACAGACTTGGGTGGTTATCTTGTTGAATGTGACGAAGTCAAGTACAAACCCTGTTAGGGGAGCAGAGCAGGGTGGGCCCTCGGCGGCCCCTGGGCGCGAAGCCGGCTCCTTCCCGCCTGACGTGTCCTGCAAGATGGGCTGCCAGGCTGAGCGTGCTCTTAGCTGAGTGAAATCCGGCCGTTCTGAGTGACAATGGGACGCACCTGGCCCGGCCAGCCCTGGCGCCCTGCATCCTCATCTTGACACTCCATGTGGCACTGGATTCCTCTCCGCCTGAGGAGCCTCCCCCTGTCTGGGAACGTGTCTGGCTGCCTGGAGTCCCCTCGTGGTGACGCCGACAGCAGGGCACGGGCAGAGACAGCAAAGCCAGGATCTCTGTGTGATGAGGGTGCCCCGTGTGGGGTCCCAGGCTGGCCTGTACCAGACCCCCTGTCACTCCAGGGCAGAACGGGGGTGGCCTTGACCGCTGGCAGCCAGCTTCTCCGGCAGGGGAAGAGTGTCTTGCGCCCGCCCGCCCCGCATTCCACAGGTAGGCCAGCTGCCCGCGGGGCCCCGCAGGTCCCATTCTGTAGAGCTCACACAAGCCCACAGCCCCGCCGGCAGCACCCCGCCACACGGAGGGGAACCTGGGTGACCCCAAAGGCACGAAGCCCAGGACTGGCCCGCAGCTGGCGAGTCTCCGCCACTCTGGCGAAGCCTCAGGAGAGCCGCTCCTGTCCGGGCACTGTGGGCACCACACCTACTCTGCTGCCCAGCCCTGCAGTGAGCTCTGCACCTGTCTGCAGGAGAAGCAAAGGAGATCAGCTTTGTCACAAGTTAGGAACCGACTTGGGGCGGTGGTGGGGGGACACTCCCCTCCCCTTGGCTGAGTGTCCCCCGTGTGTTCTCTCCTGTGAGGTCAGCCCCCACCCGGTGCTTGGTGCCAGCCCACCCTGGAGTCGTGGCTGCGGGAAGCCTGGCTCTTGAAGAGCACAGAACCAGCAAGTAACACCACCTCCGGTGGCCAGGAGGGGCCTGCTCTCCGCCGGCTCACTGTTCCCAGCCCTCATCTGAAACAGCATCTTCCGTGACCTCAGAATGTGCTGGAAAAGCCTAGTTATTAAATCTGCCTCATTTCAATTAAGTTAACATTTTACTGCATTTCTAGGAGAAACAGGGAGGCCCAGGGCGAGCCCAGCAGACAGATGAGCGTCCCCCATCCCAGGCATCCCGTGCTGCCCACGCGCCCCCCACGAGCAGCGGTTGCCGTCCATCGATCCCAGACACCAGGGCGTCCTCCCAGGCTCCTCGGCCCACAGGGGCCCTGTTTGCACCCTGCCAGGCCACACTCACAAGCACCCAGGCAGTGTGGCCTGGAGTCCCAGGGGAACACCGTGCCCACCCTCCCCAGCCTCGCTGTGCAACCCGTGATTCGGGGGCTTTACAGAACGCAGCCCCACACACGTGACGTGGAACACGCCAACTGACCTGCATCTGAAAGGAAGAACTGGGAATGAGGGGACTGTGCCGCCGCCGCTAGCGCAGGACAGAGAGAATCCTAAACTGCTAGGAAGCCGGGGGGATGCTGAGATGAGCTGAGACCCCCCCCTCCGGGACCTGGCAGTGTGGGTACAGAAAGCAGGCGCCTCCTGCCCCCAGAGAGGCCCCCGAGGAGGCGCTTAAGCAGCGTCAGCAGTGCTGAACAGTCCCTAAGGTGGCCCCAGTAATTTCTGCTCCTGGTGTTCAAGCCTTGGGGTGGCCCCTCCTGAGTGCAGAGCTTGTCACCTCGTGACTGATGGAACACGCAAAGGAGGGAAGCCCGCCGGGACGGGCTGCACGCTGGAGAGACTCCCCCCGCTTGGAAAAGGCAAAGTGCCCTGCGCCCGGCCTGGAGGGAGCCCCAGGCAGAGAGCAGCCCCCAGCCTGCAGCTGGCGAAGACGGACCGCGCCAGCACGCTGAGGGCGCCCCGGTGGGGACATGCTGCTGATGGGGACGCTCTTCTCTGGGGGAGACGTCCCTGAGGGGA